AAGTCACAAAATTCTAAGAAATTGTCATTATATACATCATTGTTTTTCTAATTGAAATTAAAAAGCAGTCAAAATGACTTCCTTGGGCAATCTAGTGTTAAAAACCTCCTGTCACTGTTATTTCCCTCTGTCAAAATAGGCCCAAGTCTGAAATGCCAGAGCTGGCTCATCCCTCTCAGGCCACGGTTCCCCCACCACCAGGTCTAATCCGGTCCCCCTCCTAGCGCCACTCAGGCCCTCACACTATGCTCCCCATTTACCAGATGCCCCAGGGCACCGGGCCGGGGCCTGTTCTGCTCACAGCTGGGCCTTGGGCACCCCTAGTCTCAGCACTCTCAGGTGCTCAGCAGAGAGAGGACCGGTGAAGGCTTGATGTGGGCGGAGGGGACGGAGCCCGCCGCCTGGCTACAGCCTGGAATCTGAGACCGTGACAGGAGGTTCTGTGGTGCGGTCTGCAGAGAGGTGCCTGCTGCCCCCCGAGAGGACAGTGAGTCCAGGGACATCCTGTTTCCTTTGTGTTTTACCATTTATGGAGATGTAATATCACTACCCTAAACTCATCTCTCTGAAGTGAGATATCGTGTTTTAGTCCATCCACAAAGCTGTGCAACCATTCCAGAACAGTCTCATCACCCCAAAAAGCAACCTGCCCCCATGAGCAGTCACGCCCATCCGCTAGCCCAGGCACCTGTCCTGTGGACTCGCCTGTGGTGGACACGTCACCTACGGAATCACTGTGTGTCCCAGCGTGTCTGCCTCCTTTCACTCACCATGCTGTCCAGGCTCATCCAGGTTGAGGTGCATCCTTTTGTAGCCAAATAACATTCCCTCCCGTGGATGGCCCACACTCCCCTCGTCTACCACTCCGGTGATGAACACTCGGGTCGCTGCACCTTCCTCTCAGGAATCTGGCTGCTCTGAACATCTGTGCGCCAGTTTCTGTGGGATGTGTTCTCATTTCTCCGGCTCTCATGGCACCTGCCTTACAGACTCTGGCACTTGTCCAAGCATCGGCCCTCTTCCCATTCTCGCCAGCAGCTTATGGGCCTTCCAACTCTTCCGACCCTCACCAACACATGTGCTACCTGATGCTCTTACCTGAGCCCTCCCAGGCGCCCAAGGGTGTCCCTGGTGGTTTTGGTGTGCGTCTCCCTAATGACTGACAACTACTGATCTTTTCGTGGGCTTACCGGCCATTTGTACATCTTCCCTGGAAAAATGTCTGTTCAGATCCTGTGTACATTTTTAAACTGGCTTGTCTTTTTAGTATTATTTCTAAGAGTTTTTACTTTCTGATTCTTCTGTGGTAAAATAATTGCTCTTGTGATAAGGGAAAAAATGCAAATTCTTGCCAACTGTTAATCTGGGAGGAAAATTAGTTTTTCCATGGAAGTGAATTGAAAAGCCCAAAGTTGCCTCTCCCTTGGAGGGGGCTCGACCACTGCAGGGGCCACCGTGGGAATCTGCCCTCCAGTCCTGGAGCTGCCCACAGCGCCAGCACAGCCACTGCCCCAGCCCCAACCAGAGGCCTCATGGAGAAAGAAGGGGGTCAGCCTGTGCAAGGCCTGGCGGCAGCTTGGCAAGAACCAAAGGCAGAAAGGGACAAGAGCCAGCAACTGCCCGATGGCTGGGCTCACCCTGTGGTAAAAGGGTCCAAGGACTCCGAGGGCTGGGATGGATGAGGGGTGACAAGGAGCCTACAGGCACCAAGCAGGAGGGCACCTCTCAGGCCTATCCCCACACTGGGCGAGGCTGGGCAGGCTAAGGTAGGATGCTCTGGCCCCTCACACACACACAACCAACAGGGACCAGGCCCCCGCCTCCCTGCTCAGTCCCAACCACTAGCAGGCCAGAGCCGCCTTCTCACAGATGAACCTTCCTTTTAAAGCCAGCCTTGGGCTCGTAAACCAGCTGCCTGACAGCCTGGAGACAGACACAGGCGGCCACCCACACGCCGGCATCGGGCCAGGGATGTGGGAGTCCAGGAAGAGCCAAGGGCAGGCGTCAGCCAGGACACCCACCTCGCCCTCCTGCTTTCTCCATGGCCCCACCCACCTCACCCTCTACAAGGTGCCCGACAGGTCACAGTCCCTCCGCCCCCCAGGGCTTCCCAGGATCCGGGTCAATCCTGGGAGAACATTCTGGAGGAAGACATCCCCAGCCCACCCAAGCACCCCCTCATGCCGTCTTCACCATGGTCACTTCTGCCCAGGGCAGTCAGCACTGACCCACTCAGTGGTGGCGCTGGAGGCTGGACTCTGCAGCTGGCAGCCCCCAGTCTGGGCCAGTCCTGTGCCCCGTGTCTCGCTGCCACACTTGCCACAACTGAGAGAGGCCTACGACTCAGGTCCGGCTCTGTCCCTGGTCGTCTGGCCAAGTGAAACCCAAGCCCCACAGGACATGTGCAGGACTCCCTGGCCCCATCCAGCCCGGTCAGGACTTCAGGTCACTGCAGCCCCAGCTAACGTCCAACAAGATTACCAAGAGAGCAGCACAGCCCCAGCCCCAGCCCTGACCCCAGGGCCACACTGGCATTGTTGGCTTCCTGGGCTGGATGCAGACGTACCTGCAGCAAAGATCTGGGCGGCCACAGCCAGGAAGGCGTCGGTCACCACGCTCTCGGAGTGCAGGGAGATGTTCAGCTGGCGCGCCACGTTGCGGTAGATGCTGGGCCGAATCAGCTCCAGCTCATCCCCTGCAGTCACACGGGGGGTCAGAGGGCTCCACACCTGCCTGACCGCAGCCCCTGTCACAAGGGCCTGGGACCAGCCCACTCCTCAGCCCCATTGCCACAGCTGGCTTGGAAACCCTTCCTGCACTGACTGGCCTATATCTGACCCCCACTCAGCCCCCAGGCAGAGGAAGACCAGGGAGGTGGGGTGGGCACTCTCAGAACCTGCTCTGTGGCCCCCCCTTCTGATGAGCCAACTCCCCCTACTCCCCCCCCACCCCGCCACCCCCAACCTAAGGCCAATCCGGCTGGGCTGGTGGGGTGGGAATCCCGGGAGGAGCATGGGCCGTGCCTGATGGGTGACTCATGGCCCACAGTGAGCTGCCCGGGCAGCAGGCAGACAGGGCAAGCAGCCAGATCCAACAAGGGCAGGGACTTGGACCCACACAGGTGGGCAGCCCTGGCCACTGCCTCAGAGGCCACTCTCACTCGGGCCCCAGCACCGCGTGGTGAACCAAGAGACTGAGCCACCATCCGGGCCTCCAGCACGGCCCGAGCTCCCACTGTGCTTGTGCCAAGTGGGTGTGTGCATGGGCGGCCACACTCTGGAGGACAGGCCCTGTCACCAGCTCTGCCTGCCGCCTGCGCTCCCTGCGGCGCCCCTGGCAGTGGCGTGCCGGGAATTCCACAGACGCGCACTGGGTGTCTCTCAGCCCACCTCTCCAGCCAAAGCAAACAGGGAAACGCCGACTGGACAGTCCTGGCCGATAAGGACGCCAGAGTCATCCCTGGAGCCAGCTGCACACTATCTAATTAATTAAGATCTGGACCAAGCAGAACGGAGGCGGGGGGATGAGGGGGCATGGAAATTCCCAGGGCTGGCCTGGCTGTTCCCGCAGAGACCTTGGGGGCTGCTGGGGAATTATTCCAAGAGACTGAGCATGGGAAGTGACCCAGCTTCTTCCTGTGTGCACTGTCCCCGGAGCTGGGCGTTTGCTGAGGAGGAGCGGGGGGGCAGGGAGGCAGCAACAGGCCCAGGGCAGGATGCAAGGAATGAGACAGACACGCTCACACTGGGGACCCAAGTCACCTCCCTCCAAGGCCCCCTCAGCCATCTGGCAGGGGCTGTGCCCCAGGGACTGGACGTGGCCGGGTTGCACACTGGGAAAGGGCCTTGAAGGCCGAGTTTCTGAGAGGGCCAGTGCAATACCCAGGCTCAGGCCCAAGGGATGGGGCTCTCAGAGTGGAACAGAGGACTGAAGGAACAAAAATGAGCCCATCAGATCTGCAGTGCAAAGCAGGGCTTTTCAGACAAGCTTAAACAACAGGGACACCAGGCTTAGGGTAGGGGCAGCCCTACAAGGCCAGCGCCAGGTTGCAGAGCAAGCCAGGACAGACAGGACTTCTCCAAGCCCTGCCAGGGGTCCTCAAGGTGCCCCCTAGTGTCATCCCCACAGCCCATCTAGAAGAAACAGCAGTGGGCAGCTGACCTCACGGGAGTCCAGGCGCTCCAGACCCCTGACTGATCCCCAAACCCACTCGCTCTCGACATCCACGGCCCAGGTGGGACACCACCCTTCTGGAGCCCTGCACAGGCCCCCACTGATTCTGTGTCTCTCACTCACACTCCTGGGAGTCCAGATACACATACAACCCTGCTCCCAGGGCCACACAAAACAGGGACAAGCAAACATGAGTGTCAGCCTCTCCCCACACTTGGCTTGGAGAGGACTGGTCAGGGTCCATCTTTGCTGCCTCCTGCTCTCCAAGTGCCCACTCCCAGAACTGAGAATGGCTGGAGGTCAGGACCTCAGTGCCCATGGCGAGGGGTCCAGACCCTGGAGAAGGTGGAGGCAATTATTGGGTTGGGTGTGATCCCAGAAACAAATATGGGCCAGCCCCACGGTGGTGTCAGCTGTGCTGGGCACCCGGTTCTGCCGGGAGGGGGACCCTTGGTGGCTTCCAAATCAAGAGAAAAGAGCAGCAGACGGCAGGATTTCAGCCAGTAACTAAAAGGACCTATTTTCCAAAATAAACACCGGCATGTGGTCCGACCAAGGATATTTGTGCCCAGCTGAGGACAAGGGTCACTGGAAATGTAGCCACCAAACGTTATTCTTCCTACAGCGTTCTATCCTTTATGGCCAGGCTGTCTGAAATCTGGGCTTAGCAGACAAGTTGGGGGAGGTCTGTAGAGCACAGGGAGCCCCTGAGAGGGGTAAATTCAGGACTGTGAGAGAGGGGAGCATCGCCTGGATAGCCTGCCTCCATGCATGGCTATTCCGCCCCCCACCGCGTCCGCGTCCCCCCCAGACCAGCCCCCTCTCTGGCCCAGAGGGAGATTGAGGCCCAGAAGTGGAGGGTACTGGTCAGGTCACCCCGTGGGCGGGTCACTGTGGAGACAGCTGTACCCTAAGGCGCAGTGGGCCCAACCCAGCGGACCAGCTCAGAAGGCGCAGTCTGGGGACCCATCCCGCCTGGTCCCACACTCA